GGGAACTATACATCCTGTGCTAATGAGAGCAGAAAATGTGAAAAAGTGGGCGGCAAGAGTATACGATCCCCTGTGGCGGCTTGCTGTTCCATAGAAAATTTCTCAGAATCAGAAGGAAAATTGAGCTTGACAGCAAGCTGATTAGTTCGGACTGTGGATTTCGGCTATTGAAAAATCCGTCAGAACCAGAAACACACGATTCATGTGCACTAGGGCATGTGATGCACCTTAGTGACCTGGATGATCTTCACTGGCCTTGGTCGCACATATGCACATTACAGAACTCACACCGAATTTTATTTGCGTAATGTCATACGGAGATAAACCAACAGACTTTGAGAAGGGCGCAATATCCACGTTCTACCAAATAGGACAGAGTTTGCTTGAGATTTCCAGGCCGTGCAAAAAATCGCGAAAGTCGTACGACGGTATCTGGAATGTAAGGAGTAATGTCCTCCTGAAAAGCGAAATCGGACGAACGCAAATTAATTCGTCTAGCCCCGAAGAACACATCCCCTATGTCTACTCTGAAAGCTCTGATCAGAGTCAGTGTTTCGAAACGAACGGTACAAAGAATGTTCGAAGCTGTGTTGTGGTTGAAATACGAAAAAAAAATGAAAAGACGCTTTGCTCTCACACCAGTTGCATAAAGAATAACGCTTATCATGGGCTGAAACTAGTGGCATGAACAGATAAGTGGGAAAATGTCTACTTTAGTGACGGAAAATCACAGTTTGGATGGACCCGGATGCTTGGAATTACTACTGATATGACATCGGAAAATAATAATTTTCAGCTAAAAATCAAAGACACGAGTCCAGTGGTGGTTTGGAGAGCCTTCTCAACCAAACGTCAAAGTGAGCTAGTCATACTTGACAGTATACAAGATTGCGTTGTGTATATTCCTACGTTAGGACAATTTTCGCTTCTTCTAGTGGCCAATAAATTACACGAGGAAGACGTATTCTAAAATGACAATGCTTCTGTCCACTACTCATACACTAAAAATATTGGCTGTTGTTCAGTGGGATCAGGATCACGCGGTAGCCAGCAAGCAGCCCAATTCTAAACCCGATTGAGAACTTATGGGACATGCTTGCTCGCCAGATAAAAAAAAGGATTCCATGGCTTACCAGTCGAAGAGTGAATTGGTAACCGCCCTCAACCAAGAATGGGTGAATATTGACCAAGGGACAAATACGGATCTTGTAAGATGTATGCCGATTAGATATACCAAAATCCTCAAGTGGAATGGCGGTTGCACACTATTTTAAGGAAACCTATAGAAGCTCAACCAAGGGGGTCCTATACTCTTGTCACCTCCTTTTGCACTTATTCTAATTTAATTAGCTCGAAATAAACTAATCCCTTCTGAAATTTTGTAGTCTGAATAGCAATGGGTATTCCATCGTCATGACCAGATATGGTTTTTGCTAGAGAATACACAAGCGGAAATATGCGGAAAATGAGGGGGACCCTATACTTTTGTTTCGGAGTGTATTTCGCAGAGTCGTAGAGTAAAGAACAAAACGAATAGAGGCATACGGAACAAGCGAAGAAACAGAAGTCAATGAGTGGAAGTCATGAAGACGAAGAAAGAGTTCATCTAAGATGCCCGATCATTCCGCGCGCGGGTCTGGTAGACCGCAACGTGGAAGCCTGACACATGGTGCTCGGTACATTCCACTGGTTAGGGTTTTCGTACCTTTTTCCTATGTCATGGACTAACCACCTCAACCTACCATCCAACCACCACCTATCGGTGGTCACTTGTAAGACGACATAGTATAGTATTTGCAATATCAAAACTGACAGTGCCTGTGCTATGCGCAGTGCTAATTAACGTTCCATAAACTGTCTGTCTGCTCTTGGTTGCGTTAGTGGAAAGTAGAGGGTGTAACTAATCTGTTGTCGAGATCCAACGAAAATGGAGGAAGTATGTGGTAAACTGCTCATAGTGGAGAAACGAATTGAGCACGCTTATTTCTACGTGGAATGTGAACGGAATTTGTCAGAAACCTGAAGGCGATTTAATGCCCATTGCCATTGTGTCCGACGAGCAGAAGGATAGTTCGTCAGTGCTTCGTTCGAAAGGACGGACAGTATGAAAGACAAACACCGCAGTGGTAGTCCTCGAAATACAAACACCGAATGCCGCGCTGACAAAATCGTTCGGAAAACCATTGAACATCCACAATGTAGCACACGACGACTGGCCTAACAGTGTGGCTGTTACCGTAGTTCCGTCGGTCATTGGATAGATTTACAAGGTTCAGACTAAGGAAATGAAATGCCCGAATTTCCCCATGGTAGAACAATTTCGCCCCTGGTTTCTAGCTGAAAGGGACACATTATACATTATCGAACGGCGGACCAGTTATCGGTAATAACAATATGATTTCGTGGTTGTATTATAATACCCGTTAATGAGACAGATCATTTCTAGCAGCTTAAGAAAAAAGACCCGGAAGGGACTTTTGAACACGAAAGCTGCTCACCAGAGTTCTCTGGCTACTGGAGGTCCGTAGACACTCAACGCCAGACCAGTCGTTATCAGAAATTTACCATCCTCTTTACACGGATTAATTTGTAGCAACTCACAACGAGTCGGTAAACCAGCATTGAGAAAGGTTATCCGTTGTAAGCAAAACGTTGGCTAACTATCAACTTTTCCGACAAAGCTTTTTATCGAATATTTATCTAAGCGCGTCAGCTGTCATATGAGAACATCAAGCTGGATGATAAATGAAATAAGCAACCACTGAAAAAGTCTGCCGGTGTGCATATAAAAAGCATGATTTCACTTAGTATTTACGCTCTAAATGTATTAAATAACATTTCCCCTAAAGGTAATATAATAATAACAGTAATGACAATGATAATACGGCACAGAAGAGCGCAACTATTTATTTCCATTAAAATCTAGCTGTTCTTCTGTGCACAAATGCTCATACTTTGGATAAACTATGGCAGTTCATTTCAAATTCCAAACAATTTTCAGAACATCATTCCAGTCCCTAACTCTGTTCAGAACGGAAACTACATTTGGACTTATTCCATTTTTCTAGCAGATGCACACATAAACACCAAAGGTCTCGTGCATCTGGCCAGCACCCATAAGCTAGTCATCCCGTTCGGTTAACCGGATTTGTCTACGATAATCAGTCTTTCTGCTAACGTGACTAGAGAGACAAACTCGCTTTCTCGGGTCAATTAAGGTTTGTTCCCTCGGCGGCTTCAAAGGAAACTGGTTTTTTTCTCGACTATGGTCTGCGCAAAATCTAAGTAACTGCTCATAGCCTGGCAGCAACTTTTGGACGTAGCCGCAGATTCCGACAGTCCGAATATTGCATATATTTTTCCATCTACGGACATCTTACCATCCTAAACCCACTCTGTTCCATCCGAATTTGAATCTTTTTCTTCAGAAGTCTCTTGGCTTCTGAAAATCTGCTGTAGGCTCAGATGGATTACCTTCCGTCCTTTTTGCATTTGGAACAAGTCCATTAACGGAAACGGTAACTTCCCTCATCAACGAAGCCCTCGATACCAGTGCAGTCTTTGCCTCCTGGGAACCGTAACAGTAGTATCCATTCCCTGACACTGCACTTCTAACATTCTGTCAAAAATTTTTCGCCTAATTGCCATCACTTCCTCTGCACTGAAGTTGACTGAGAGTGATACCCATATCCGATTGCATCCCTTCCTTGCTGCTCCAAAGGACTCTCATCAGTTCGCATTCAAGCCCAACAGGTGCACTATGGACGCAATTGCTTCTGTTTGCCATTTCATTTCTAGAAGCCCGAATAGTTCTGTGAAATGAGCTCTTATCTTACTTGGCTGTTCTTCTGCTCTTGACTTGGTTCCTCGTTTCCTCCTTCTCTAAAATTTGGAGACTCTTGGCTGTTCGACTTTCCTGCTTTCGTGGTTAAAAGACTACTATTCTAACAGAACTCAGGGTACCAAAGTTGGTAGCATTTTCTCGAATCTCTTAATAAACAACTCTGGTGTTCTTCTGAATGCTGTTCTTCCCCCTACCTTCTCACTACTTATATTAGCAACTTACTTGTGGCCCATCCTGCGCGAACTATTGATGTGTTGTCTTGTCAGTTCATCTCCAGTTAACCCGGTTTTACCTCTTTTTATGAGAACTCATAATATTCAGGGCTTCTCGTCTCTTTCTGACCTACCCCACAACCTCCAAAATGTTCCCATTATATATATATATATTCATTCTTTCTCGATTTCCTTAACCTAATGAACTATCGGTCCTCAGCTGTGCCCCCTTTTCCGGAGCTAACTCGGTCAAGTACTTAGGTGTTACTATAAGCACCAGTTTACAATGATCTTCCCATTTTCTAGACGGTGTGAAGATATTGCGTCGACTCACTTTTCAAAACCGTAGACTAAGGCGGTTTGGCGCCACACTAGCTTTCTTTGTCCACTAACGTGTTCTATCAATCCTACTTTACTGCCGTCCTGTAATCTCTCCCGGTCTACTTAAGAAAGGTTTTCATTCACCACTCCGTAGTTTGGCTAGTATCAGTCGCGTTTCTTTCATTCACATAGCCTCTCTCGTCAACAAAATGTGATCTGCAGATTTTACCGGTGAAAAATCCGCTATGGAGATTTTTGTGGAAACCACTCTTCCTCTTTGCCTTGACTTATTTGTTTGTCGTTCACTACCTTCTACACATTCTGAGTTTAGACTCATCCCGTCAGGTAAAAATATTTTTCGCAACTCTATAAGGCTTCATTTGGCATGTGTTCTTTTTGACAAAATGAATATCTCAGAGGAACTTCTTATTAGCCTCGGTGGTTGAACCTGATTTTAACTTGTTAGTTTTTCACCCCAATTTTTTGAAAGATTTTCAAATTGACGGTTATCGTTTTCGCTCCTTTTTATAGTTGAAATTTAAGTTGTTAACTTACGGAAATCCCCAATACAACACAACACAACTGACCCCAGATGACCACCTCTACTCCAGTTTCGGACAGAATCAGGTCACACAGAGTGACGTAACGGGGAGAGCAACAGAGCAGGCATAGTCATTCAAAGACGAATCTGTTCTCATACTAGCACATTTCCAAAGTAAATAGGGAGTGTTCGGTCTTTTTCCGCTTTTTCGTCGTACTGAGCAGTCCAGTTCGAAGTTGTCGTTTTTTGTTTCGTTGTACGCACCGTCTGGTAAATCAGGCTCGTAAATGGGTGGATAATCTTCTCGGATAAGTTCTTCCGGTGGCGCAGGTAGCGTGCTAATCGTCGAATGATGAAGAGGATGATTCGCTGTCCACAGGGGTGTCTGATGCATCGTGGCCGGGTGCATGTGATGGTGCCCTATCGGTCGGACTGTCGAATTGCTGGCTGGTCTACGCATAGGCACAGCCTCGACCAGGATGACAGACTCTTGATAATGGGAGTTTTGTATCATCCAGTTGGAGGGGTTGTGGTAGACAAGTACTTCCCTGATCAAATGTACTGCCATTTGTTTTGTGATTCTATAGTAAGGAGGTCTAACTTGTTCCTCTAGAGCATACATGTCATGTATTGTCCGTTCGATTAATGGATGGCATAAATCTAGAGTTTGGGATAGAACACTCCTTTCTAAAGGATTCGCTGATGAATATAATATGCCCGAACTGTTCTGTTTCCCATACTGTTCAGGCTTTTTAGGTATAGGACACTTAGACCACAATTTGGTGCTGCTTGTACGCAAACAATCTTCATTCAAACTAGTGAATGAATTTTGTGGCAGGACACCAACGGAGTGCACATTGCTCCCGTTCGTATTCTCACTGTTCTGATCCGGTGATAATGATGTGACAAAGTTGTCAGATGTTGATTGCATGTGCTTAGCCCAACATGCATTGATTTCAGCATTGTTGTATTCCAAACAGCAATTGGTATTGATATCTCCTTCCATACAGTGTGTGCGATCGGGTTGGTTTGCAAGGAACGTGTCCACACCTGGCGTTTGTGTGGACTGTACCGTAACCCATGGAACTGTTGTTGTTGTTGCGCATCTGCTGAACAAATCCACATTTATAGGACCCACAAAACGACCCGTCCTATCATCAGGTACATGTTTCGATCCCAACCAATTCTGGTCTGTCTGGGTCGGATTTTCCTCTATATCCTTATGAAGCGGATTGAACTGTTCCACAAACACAACCGATGATGCTGTGGTGTGATTTGACATGGGACCGTTCAACAATTCATTCCCGGCAGACATAGCTTGCATCCAGCGATTGATGCATAAATCATTTGGTAAACATGTGCCCAAAAGATTCTGTAATTGATTCAAATAATCTGATATGAGTGGATAAAGTGGGGTACTATGTCCAGTTCGATCCAGTCGATCATGCGCAGTGTCTAATGCAGTGCGTGCTTTCACATACCACACACAAATGCGTGAGATCAGATTTTCAAAATCGGTGCACGCGGTAAGTAGTCGATTGAATGCAGAATCTGAATTTCCCGTCGGATTTTCCATGGGCAACATTTGGTCCATCGGATTTGGATGGGTGGATTCTGGCAACAGTGAGGCGCTGGTGGTGCCTCGTTGTTGTTTCATAGGTGATTTCGGTGTGTTATTCAGTGTTGGAACAGACATAATGTTCACAAGGTCTTCTGTTGAATCCCGTACGGTTGTCTGATCGTCAATGCACTTTGGCGCTTCGGCCAAATCTTTTTTATCCAAACTTATTTCATTAGTTTTCAAACGGTTTTCTTGTACTGGGGCAAATGGTAGACACCATGCTTGGGATTTTAGTGTACTAGATTTACCTACTCCATCCAGAGACAGAGGTCTGCTGGTCTCTTTGGTAGTCTTGGAGATTTTTGGCTTTATTGGTGCCTGATAGGAAATCCAAGACTGATCGATACGTACACTGGGATTCCATGGTTTTCGATGCGTAACTGTTTCCGAATTACTGATCGAAGTGGTCAGATTGACACGTTTACGCTTCGGCTTGGTTAATTTTGGGTAAGGACCATTCGAACTGTAGATTCGATTCACTGTAGGTGTCAGCATCGCTGATGCGGGTCAGACATGTCGCATGGTGTTGATAGTGCGATCGCAGGTCGGCGAGAGCAACGGAGAACGCTCATCGACCCAATACGGCTTTGAACCGATTGACTCGATGCACTCTATTCTTACGATCACGTGATGGACGCTGAAAACGTAAAGCAGTGGTAAAGGCAGAATCCAGAAAGAGAGAAGTCAGTATTTTGGATTTCCAACCAATTATCCCATCTGGATTGATGGTTCCATCTACGGTATGCATTTATTTATTCATTTACGCCTAGGGCTTATTACTACCAGTTCTTGGTTTGAAGAACTTTTTCGTATCAATCAACTTGATAGTTAGATTTTTGAAGACTATTAAAACAGCTGCAAACTTTTCTCGTAATGCTTCAACTTTCCCGGGTACGGTAAACTTCACTAATAGCCACGTTTGAATAAAAACAGAACACTCGGTAGCGAACAAGCATATTTTCGGCACCTCACAAGTGGTTAATTATAGCACTGACGAGGTTTTAGCTTTTAGTTACCACTTCGGTTCGAAGTCACCTGTTTGCCATACCTGCTACACTGACTTTGAATGAGTTAGATAGTTAGAAGGTCTTCTTTTCAACTGTTTAAAGGCTAGTTTTTATATTGTAATACTGTCGACGAAAACTCGAGATATCCGCTCTGAACGAAAATCTTCTCCACACTTATAATTCCATCTTCAATGATGTCTGTAGAGTATATTTTAATTGTTTTGTTTTCCAAACTCGGTCACGTTAACGGAATGGCTCACTAAAGCGATCAATCTATCATAAGGAAACATGAAAAGTCAATAAACACACTGTCGAGTGTACCCAAACGCATGTGAGATCCATGGATCTACACTCTCCACCACCGCAAATAATGTGGCGTTATCACTAATCCCGTGCAAACGACAGCTATCAACGCATGATACCTGGCGTGACGCTGATAACACCGTACCTGTCTGAACAAGCAATTGTCATTTGCTGTCATCGATTCTTTTTGTTATCCTAACTACACTACCTATAAAACGTTATGCTTTCAGCCAGTTGTGAAACCCTCAAAACCAGCTTGTTCATTACCGAGCTATCTGATTCTCTAGGCTCTACATTAAAGAGAATCCACTCTAATCATTTAGTATTGTCCGTGAAGTTTGTGATCAACACCTACTAGTACTCAAATCATTTTTTCTGACTTTCGATTTGCTGAAGCAAAGAAAAAACTACAATCTAGCAATCTAGAAACTTATGACCAGGAAGCCCGAAATCAAGTTTATCACATTCCTTCCCTCACTCCGATTTCAAGGAAGAATATTCCGCAGATCACAGGGTGCGCAAATGCAGACACAACATCTTGTAGTTCATAAATTTTTTGAGCAATTCACTTTAGCGGTCTAATGGATCCAAAAGGTAAAAATCATCGAGATGCTATCCCACACATGGACGAGACCCCACGCTTTTACACCACGTACATTTGAAAAGCTGAGTGTTACATGACCATATCGCGAACTTTGAACATTTCATCAAGGAATCATACCATTTATCCACCGAAGTTCATTTATTCTTTACCAAACGGTAACTCATCGATTGTGTCCTTGTTCATATAAACTACGAGACAGTCTGACAAGTTAATTACCGTTCTGCTAATTAGCCTCATTGAGTACGTGTCAGAAGTCGCCATGGAGTCAGTGGATCCTTGGAATCCTACAAAAGTCCTTGAACACAATCTACGTGGGGAGCTACCCTGATGGGGAGGAAGGTTTATTCCACGTAAAAAAGAAACTGCATTCGGAACTGTAATATGAATATGAAGTACCATACCATATCTTATAAATGTATCCAAGTCGTTAGTCGAACCGATGTCATGGTTCAACAGGTACAATATTGACCCAGGAATGAAACTGCCAGCGGTTTGATCCCACATTAGCGAAGCAGAAGTCAACCTGTGACTGTTAAGGTGTACATGTGTCTAACACACAAGACTCGTTTGTATTGCTTTATCGATGGAAGCAGCTCCATTGTTGCCTAGATACGTACCACGCCATGTTTATTGGAGCCTCTTATTAGTCTGTGTAGCGCGAAGGCAAAACGTGCAAGTTTCGTTAACCAAACTAGACAGTTCAAAATGATGTGTGACCTTATAAATAGATCGTTTTCTCACCCACACTTCAGTGTCGATTTTCTTGCCAGATGCACATTTTGGCAGCATTTGGACCATGTGCCCGTTGTTGTTTGGCTTTTTAGTTCGCGTGCCACTTTGCTGCCCCATTCGATGTCCACACCGTTTTCCGCTTCAGCGGGGAATAATGTGCGGTGATTTTGAAATTATGTCGAAAGTACTTGGAGTTGCCACAAAATTGGCTGCTTGAAATTTCGCTTTGATTGACCTGAAGTCTGGTGTGCCACTCACCTTCATCCTTTTCGAGTCGGTAACAGAATGATGCGCTCATCGTCTGCACACTGCACCATAATTTACGGACACAATGGCCTTAATGAACCCAAACTTGCAATCGGAACTAAGAGCCCGAGTAACAGGACGGGATGATAATGTAACGTTTGATAAGGCAAACAGTAGACGAAGACAGGCTTCTCGGTCGGCTCTCACGTTCTGAGTAGACAAAAGAGATGAAATCGCATTGCGGTCGCAATGGGCAATGAGGTCAGCAGTTCCGTAGTAATAATGCGAATGTATCCTAATTTTCATCGGTCTTTACAGTTCCCGAACATAAATAAAAAACGATCGGGCTATGCGAGTAGTAGGCTGCAGTTCGACTAGGTCTTTGAGTGACAGCTAGGCAACACCTCGGATATCAAAATGTGTAGGCTTGTTGGCGCCAAGATTATGAGTGTGGTATCCTGCATTTCGTGTTATCAAAAATACATTGATCGATTCAAATTGGTATGCAACCTGGGTCATGGGGAACTGACTCAATTGTGTCAAGTCGAGTCAAGCGTTTGCTTTATGCACCCCCCCCCCCCGGTGGATGAATATTTAGCAGCAAATAGCTATACTCACAGCAGTTACACGAAAGAGAAAGCGTCAGATACAAAAACAACAACAAAAAACCCAATGTTGAGAGATGATTTAGTAACTAAGACAATAAATGTTGTCTACTTTCGGCGTCAATGTTTGCTGGATTACATAGGAATCGAGCGAAGTAAGGGACACAGGAGGACCGGTAGGCAGTCGTGTGGGCACAAATCATTTTATAGTTAATGCAGGTGGAAGAGGAGGAAGCACACACACGCTGATTGGTCCCTGTGAAGCGGGTGAAGTGAGTCATTCAGAATTCTCTGGGCGAATCTTTTGCACATTTTATGGTGTTGGAGTATAATGGAGTCTGAGATCTTTATGAGGAATACCACTTGCATAGGATGTGCTTGAGAAACCTTTTTGTTATGATGAAATCTTTAGTACGTAGGCCATGGAAGAAGACGGGAGAAAAGTACAGCCAGTGAGGTAATGTAGTTGCAAGGAAAAAACGTCGAATGACATAAAGGGGCGCAGACATTGCTTTCAGACGGAAAACTTAGTAGGTTAGTCTTCTCACTCACATGTTCAGTCCAACAAACATTATGGGTGATCGTAATCCTAAGGTATTTAACCGATAGTTGGCGACGGACGGAGATGTTTCTATGTGAACGTCTGAACAGGTTTCCAGAAAGTTCACATACTTAGAACCTTTGTGAAGAGAAAAGACAACATCTGAGCATCTACAGGGATTTAAGCTTAGGTTATGGGCTTTGGACCAACGGCCAGTATCTAAGAGACCAGGTTGGAGCTCAGGTGTAGCTGATGCATAAGGATGGGGGTAATCCAATCGCAACGTCATCTGCGTACTTTATAATGAAGGAACAGTCACTGGCAGTCATGGAAGACGTGTAGGCGGAGAATAGAAAAGGGGAGAGGAGTGAGCCCTGTAGTACGCCTTGGTTTGAAACAGAGATGGAAGTGGTCCTGCCCCCGTACCTTGTAAACTGTCGCCGATTGGAGAAATAATCAGACAAAAGTCCAATTGGTGAGGGTTGTATTCCGTTATTTGAGAGTACGTCGAGAAGCTTTCGTCTGTCAACACTGTTAAACGCATCACTGTAATCCGGGAAGCGGGTAAGCACAGCTTTTGATTTCTTATCCAGTGACGACAAGACATTATGAGTCAAGGAAGCATTAGCTTCCAAGATAGAGCAGGAGCCGCGGTAGGTGAACTGGTTTATGTCTTACATTGTCAAATCACTGGACAGTTCCTGGAGTAATAACTTCTCAGACACCTTTAGTGCAATTGGGGTACAGGCAATTGGACGGAATTTTGCTGTTCCTTTCTTCGGTACAGGTGTGATGGACGCTGATCTCCATCAGTCGGGAATCTTCTTGCAGTACAAACATTGATTAAATAACTGTGTCATGACTGATGTGAGTATTTGTGCACACTGCTTAAGTACAACTGGGGGAAGATTATCAGATCCGTGGGATTTGTTGCATTTGAGGTTTGACAGCTTTTTGTGGACATCTTGAGGGGATATATTGTGGGAGATGGAGCTGGTAAAATTGTGACAAGATGGGACTTTGGTACAACTGAACAACAAAGGACGAGGATACTTGTTGAAGTCGCGGTTTAGATCCAGAGTTCTCTACAATTATTGTTTGCTTCGTGCACACGACTGTATATGCCGTTAATTTTGCGGATTTCTGACTTGATTGACAAAGAAAGGATATTCACTGTGCGATAGTTTCCATTTTTGTAAGCACTTTCTTTTCTACGGCGCAACTTTTTGAAGAACGGAGAGGAAAATCGGTAATTACTAATGTATATGGTCTCCAATGGACAACACACATCGCAGCTAAAATTCAAGTAACTAGTAAGATGCTCACAAAACACAGTGGGGTCTTGGTGGTTGAAAATGTCGACCATAGCTAGAAGTCTTTGTAAGTTTTCTGAATCACATTGACGGTTTTTGCATTTCAGGTCATGACAGCGGGTGAAAACTCTGTGGTTACTGGAG